CGAAGGGACCTTGGGAAAGGCAATTTATCTTATTTTAAATAAGTGAATAATTAATCTTGATAACAGATCACACACATCCAAGCAAAAGGGTAGCCTTTCGGTTTTGATAATGAAAAAGACGAAAAGGTTCACTTATGCTTTGGATAGTCACAGCAAATATTCAGTACTACTCTAATCCACACCTCATGTCCCAAACAATTTTCTGCATAACTGTGTCTATCAAGAGGGTACAAATTCCAGCTGCATAAAGCCATTTAGACAATCTCAGCGTTTTCGGAGCTTCTCACCTCATTCCAGGGTTTGTGTCTTGGCCCAGCCATCAGTTTTCTCAGCAAGGCTGTAGCTGCTCTGTGGTGATATGATAAGTTTTGCTATACTGGTGTACAGATCACCACCAATGGAAGATAATTAAACGTTTGAATAAAAGAAGACACTCATTAAACCTTAAGATATTTGACATCTAAAATGGATAGAGAGGCAAATTGCCTGATTATTTAATCACTGAATAACATCTTAGACTAATCACTTGAAAGGAAAAAAAAGTATAAAATTAACCTTTTACATTTTTAAGATCCTATCTATATACACACACATAAATTAAGGGTTATTCTTGTTACTAATTTTTTGTTATATAATTTTCTGATAATAGAAAGGGTTTTATTCTGTCCATACTGCAAAGATAAAATGTCTTTCTTTTGTATTTCATCACAGGGAAATATTATGAAAGGATATTTTTATATTTTATCTTTGAAATCATTAAATGTAAGTACTGGGACATTCAAGTTCACTTCTTGAACACTTAACACTACCTTATTACAGAGAGACAGAAGCTACCTTACTTGATTAGGAAACATTCACTTTCAGGGTTTATTTTCAGGTCCTGTATTTTGTTTTAATAAGGTGAAATGGCCTTGCACCTATTATAAAATCTTGAGGTGTGTGTATGTGTGTTTGTTTCATTGCCTTTGGAAGCAATGTAAAATTAATCTTTCATGATTTTTACCAAATTGAAGACACGGTAACTTTCACCAAATGCATAAATAACAGGCAGGAGTAATCAATTCCCAATTTTGGGTGTTAAATAAAGAAACAGCTCGCAAAACAAGGTGACATTTTATTTCAGTCATTGTTTTTCACAAGCTTTCAATTAAGTACTAATACAGGTAGTGCTTATTCTTTTCCTAATCTCTCAGTCAAGTAGACAGCAATGGCAGCTGTAAACTAAGAGGCAAAGAAGGGCACTAGATAATTCAAAACTGGATAAATTTTAATAATTCTCAAACCATCCTCCATGGCATAGTGCAAGCCCCACAAACAATGAAATAACTTCCTTAAAGATGAAAATATGTTTTAAATAAAATATTTGAATTTGTACTTAAGTCTGCAGGCAAATTAAAAATCAAGTGTTAAACTTGGACATCCAGTTAAACATGGTGGATGGGACACATACATTTATCTGATTTCTCCTCAAATCTCACTAGGATGCTCTGATGGAATTTAAAAGGGGGCTAAATCCACAGGGAAGAGGTTAGTAGAAGAAGAGACATCAGTGGAGAAGACATTTTGAAAATAGGAAATCAGATGTTTACAAAGTAACTGCTGAGAACAGAAGTTACAACAACACAGAGGGAGCTATGATGTGAAATTCACCTCACTAACCCCCTGAGTGTATAGGACTCAGAGACACCACATACTCAGATGTCCAGCAAAAGGAGAAAATAAAGAAAAAAGAAAGACCCGAGAAACTAGATACAGGGTATCTA